TCTGTTTCGACTCTCCCTGGTTTAGATATCATGACCATATTCATATCATAGAAGGACTTCTTTACCTTTTTTTTTTTAACTTACATAGTATTGAAACAAACTGTTCTTTAAAAGTTTGGTAGGCTCTGGAGTCTGAAGGACCCGAGTTCAATCTGACCTTTGACACTTACGAGCTGTGTGACCTTTGGCAAATGACTTAACCCAGATTGCCTCAAAAAAATAAAAAGTTTCGTAGAATTAGCTTGTAAATCCATCTGGTTGTTCCTTCCCTTTCTTAAGAGAGCTCACATATGGCTTGTTCAATTTCTTTTTCTAAGATGGGGCTACTCGAATATTCTATTTCCCGTTCTGTTAATCTGAGCAATGCATATTTTGGTAAACATTTAGACATTTCCTTTAGATTGTCAGTTTTGTCAGCATGTAGCTGGCCAAAATAGTTCCTAATAATTGCCTTCATTTCCTCGTCATTGGTTGTGAATTTATTCTTTTCATTTTTGGTACTGGTAATTTGGCTTTTTTCCATCCTTCTCAAATTATCTAGTATTTATTTTATTGTTTTTTTAAACCAGTTCTAGTTTTATATACTGGTTCAATGTGGGGTTTCCCCCCCTAAACTTTCAATTTGGTTAATATCTCCTTTGCTTTTCAGGATTTCTGTTCTTTGGGAATTTTTGTTTTCTTAGTTTAGTTGCATGCTCAATTTGATCCGCTCTTTCTCTCTTTTATTGATGTAAGGGTGTAGTGATATAAATTTTCCCTTAAGTACTGCCATGGCTGCATCCCACAAATTTTGGTATGTTTTCACATTGTTGTCATTATCTTTAATGAAATTACTGATTCTTTCTATGACTTTTGACCAATTCATTCTTTAGGTCTAGCGTATTTAGTTTCTAGTTAATATTTGATCTATGCTTCCAAGGCCCTTTATTGAATGTTACTTTTATTGCTTATAGTCAGAAAAAGATACTTCATGATTCTGCTTTACTGCCCTTGTTGGTGAGGTTTTTAGGATCAATTCTTGTGAGGGTGCACAGCTGAGAAACAGGTGTATTCTCCAGAAGTCTATCATATCTAACTTTTCTAAAATTCTACTAATGTTCTTAACTTCTTATTTTATGGTTAGATTTACCTAGCATAATTTTACTGTTGTTTTCCTCCTATAACTCCATTTAACTTTCTCTCCTTCAAGAATTTGGGTGCTATGCCATTTGGTGTCTATATGTTCATTATTGATGTTGTCTGTGGTACTTTTTAGCAAAATGAAGTTTCCCTGCCCTATCTCCTTTGATTAGGCCTATTTTTTGCTTTTGCTTTGTCTGACATCATGATTACTACTACTTTTTTTTTTAATTCAGCCTACTTATGACATATTCTGTTCCACACCCTTATTTTAGCTCTATGTGTGTTTCTTGCAAAGAATTCATTTTTGGATTCTGGTTTCTAATCTGCTTCATCCTTTTCTCTCTTATGGTTGATTCATCCCATTTATATACATAGTTAAGATTGCTATGTATTCCCTTCATCCTTTTTTCTCATACTTATCCTTCTTTTCACTCTGTCCCTTCCTCAAAAATCTGTTTTGCTTCTGACCACTGTCTCCCTTAATCTACCCTCTCTCTTATTTCCCCTCTCCCCTTTTGTTTACCCTTTGCTCTCTTAATTCTTTGCCAGGTAAGATGAATCTCTGCACCCAATTGTGTATATGTTTATTCATCTCTCTTTGAACTAATTAGATGAGAACGAGGTCCAGATATGGCCCACTCACTCCCACCATTGCTTCCTCCATTGTATGAACTCTTCCTCGAATATCCCATTTATGTCACATCATTTCTCCCCTTCTTCTCTCTCAGTGCACTTCTTTTCTTCACCCTTCCATTCTTTTCTTGAGATCATCCCAACAGAACAGAATCACACATAGGCCTTCTGTCTAACCATACTCCCTCTACCAGCCCTAATGATAATAAAGTTTTATGGAGTTTACATGTATTCTCTTCTCATATAAGAATGGAAATAATTTAACCTTGTTTAGTCCTTTATCATTTCTTCTCTCTCATGTTTCCCTTTTTATGCTGCTCTTGAATCCCACATTTGAATATCAAATTTTCCATTTCACCTTTGGTCTTTTCATCAGGGACACTTGAAAGTGTTCTATTTTGTTGAACGCCCACCCCACCCCTTCACCCTATAGGATTATGTTCAGTTTTGCTGGATAGCTCACACTTGGCTGTTACCCTAGATCCTTTGCCTTCATGTTCCAAGCCCTCCATACATTTATAGGGGTAACTGCTAAGTCTCACACAATCCTGATTGTGGTTCCTTGGTATATGAATTCTTTCTAATTGCTTACAGTATTTGTGTGTGGGTGAGAGAGAGAGAGAGAGAGAGAGAGAGAGAGAGAGAGAGAGAGAGAGAAGAGAGAGAGAGTTTTCATTTTGGAGCTTCTTTCAGAAGGTCACAGTGCATTCTTTCAACTCTTCATCCTTTGGTTCTAAGATAATTGAGCAATTCTCCTTTATAATTTTTCTAAAACTATGATGTCTGGGCTCTTTTTTTGTTGTTGGCTTTCAGGTAATCCAATGATTCTTAAATTATCTCTCCTCAATCTATCTTCTAGATTCCTTGTTTTTCCTATGAGATATTTCACATTTTCTTCTATTTTTAAAGTCATTTGACTTTGTTTTTATTATTTCTTGATGTCTCATGGAGTCATTAACTTCCATTTGGAATTTTTAAGGAGCTAATTTCTTCAGAATATTTTGTACCTCTTTTACAAAGCTCTTCTTTTCATAACTTTCTTGAATAGCTCTCATTTCTTTTCCCATTTTTTCTACTGCCTTTATTTGCTTCTCTTTTAGGAATTCTTGTTGGACTTGTGTTCTGCCTGCATTTTTTTTTCCTTTGCAGATTTTCATGTAGATTTTTTTTTCTTTCTTCTAAGTCAGTCTTGAACTTCCCAGTCACCATGTAAGCTCTTATTAATTGGGTTCTTTTTCATTTGCACATTCTTCCAGTTTCCTTCCTGAGTTTGGACTTGTATAAGGTTAGTGCTGGGCTATGCTCACTTCTTGGGGAGAGGGAGATGTCTGGCCTGAGCTTCTGTCTTTGTATGTCCTTATACTATTTCCACAGCTCAGTCTGGGGCAATTTGGGGCCTGCAAGGTTTTAGTGCTTCCAAAGTAGTCTTAATTGAGGAGTGGCCTGTTCACTGCCCTCCTGGTATGAGCTCTGCAAGTTCCTGGCCCAGGTTTGGTTCTGTTGGCTAAGTAAGGTTGAGCTTCCGTAGGGCTGCTCTGTAGGTCCAGAGGGGCTGAATTGCTTGACTTCTCCCCGCTTTGGTCTTGGTTTTCTGCCCTGGATTACTCCATTACAGGCTTATTCTCAGAGCTCAAGGTTAGCACTGAGTCCCCACTCTGCTCTTGAGCTCAGAACCATGGATCTAAGCGTTTGGAACCTGCTCCTGTACACAGCCAGGGTCTCTACATTCACAACTGGTCCTCTTGGCCCTGGATTGTGCCCAGGTTGGATAACAGAGCTACCAGGGGGTACCTGCTGTGCTCCCAACACTGGTTCAGGGGTCCCCCCAGGATCTCTTTCTGCCCTCACCCCCGTGGCATTCAGTCTTAGCCTCCTTACCCTAGAATGATCCCCACTGTTGTACTCTCTGCGCCACACTGTGCTCCTGGCGAGCCCTCACCCCACTGTCTGCAGACCTGTCTGTCTTTCCTAGGCTGCCCTGGGATAGAAAAATGGCTTACTGTGACTTTTTCTTGGCTTTCCCCATCAGAATGCAGTTTGGCACATTTATAGATTGTTGTGGAGAAAGTATGTTGGGAGAGTTGGGAAAAAATGCTCTCACTCCACCATCTTGACTCTGCCTCCTAGATGTTCCTTTAACATTCTTTATGAGATTGATTTGTCTCTGCAATGCATGTAAAAAAGTTTTTTGAAATTTGGCAAATTAAAAGTAATAGAAACAAAGTTATTATGGCTGAGTGCCTGAAAGGGCATCATATTTACAAAGGGAAAAAAATCTAATTCATCCCTATGAGATCCACCTTGAAATCCTCAAATTTTGCAGTAGCTCTTTGAAATAACCACGTATACGATGTTCAGAGTGGCTTTATAAGGATGTTGCTGCTTAGCAAATGCCATCATCGTCATCAATAACAGCCACTATCACATATTTAGGGAGAACATTCATTTACACAGCTCTTTCCTCACAACAATCCCCAAATAGTAGGCCATTCTAGAGATGAGGCAACTGAGGCCAGATAAAAGAGCGACTACCTCAATATCCCACAGTGACTGACACGGAGCAGGACTCCGTGGCCAGGGCTCTTTCCCACAGGACTACAATGCCCAAGTTCAAAGTGTTTACCAAGATCTTTTTTCCCCCCATTTCCTTACAAAAGATGATGAGCTTCAATAGCCTCTTGGTAATTTATGGTAGAAAAATCAGGTCACTAGGTTATCTCATTTTATTCAGCTTTATTATTGCTCCATGAACAGTCTCTCGGTTTTAGTTTTAACTTAGGAATCATCTCACTTAGAGTCTGTACATATTCTCTAAGTTCTTTGATAAAACTATTATAGAACTCTAATATTAAATATGCATACTATATGAAACAAACATATTCTTTTAAATTTATCAACTTTGTGGCTCCTTTAATATGCAAGTGTTATTATTGAAAAGCCACAAAATTAATCAGTTAAATTTTCACATGCTACTTGTCTGTTGCTAATTAATCATGTCTTACTGGTAATGCCTAGATTTGGAGTCAGGAAAACCTGAGTTCAAATCCAACCTCAGACATTGAGTTGCTGTGTAATCTTGCTAAGCCTCAGAGAACTCTCTAAGATAAAGACTGTTGGGAGCCCAACCCAACAAAAGCACAAATACATGACATAAAGAGGTAGCACTATTTTCTGAAAAGAAAATTGAGCCCACTTTGGTCTTGCAATACATATTGCAGAAATTTTCTAATTAGCATAATTTGAACTACAGAGTTTACAGAGTTTTTAATAAAATTCAAAATGCATTTTAAAGGAACATGCATGGCCTTTATAGTGAGATATTAATGGACCATAGGGTAAGTAGTTATTAAACTATTACAAACAACAATGAAATCGACATTTATTTTACTCTAATCTTTGCTTCAATAATTATAGCTAATGTGCAATGACAGCCAAAATTATATTTAAATCTACAAAACTTAAGTTTCTCAGATAAAGTATGACACAATTTGAAATTAGCAAGACACATACTTAGTGTTACATCTGAGGTTATTATACCTCAGAGAAGCTTTTTGCTGCTAAATTTAATGGATATTTCAATTCTGAAGTATTATATTCAGTGAGGAAGTTATAATCCTTTGGTTATACAGATCTACATCAGTAACTGTGAACAATTTACTAATGACACAAGTACAATTCCATTTTCTTATTACATTTCCTTCATCCACAGTTAAGGCAATTCTCTCCTACAAATAACTGAAAACGAGCTCTATTCTTTGTCTCCAAAAAAGGCTATCCATAAACTACACCCAAAACGTCCATGGCCAGGCCTCGGTGAAAGTCTGCCAACACCTCATTTGTTCTGTACAGCTAACCTCTGTAGAGCATTTTCTGAAGCTTTACAAAGTGTTTTCTTCATAATCATGCTGGCATGTATGGTCCCTTAGTATTCATCCTAGAAATGGGAGGGTCTAATGCACTAAAGAGTTCTACTTCTCTGACTGGGGGAGAAAATCCAATTTCATGGCTACATTCATTCACTGACCGATAAATATTTGTTGAGCATTGACCTTATGAAGTTCATCATGCCAAAATATCAGTGAGTACCCTATAAATCTTGATTCTGGGATCTGAAGCTGTGTAGGAAATGGACATGGTAGACTTTTTTTTTTTAAGTCCACATAACTTCAATGACTGTAAAGCAATAATTCTATTATCACATGACCTTCTTCTTCCCCTCTCCAAAAAGAAAAAGTTTATTTTATCTATTTTGAAAAGTTCCTATATCCTATTATCATTCAATTTTAAAAAGGCATGGTAAGAATTAAGTGTAATATTGACACAAAAGAAATTAACTGGATCAGATGGTTGGAATGTGGTGATGGTGGTATTACTCAGGAAGAAGGGGAAGGTAAAGAAGAGGAAAATGGAGATAGAACTGTGCTACCACACCTCCATGCAATGTTTCCATGGCCTCTGAGAAGGCTCCTAACTTCAGTCTGAGAAACATGGCCACACAGGAACCTTTTATGAATGAGGAAATGGAATGATAAGCAGGAATAATTTAATTCATTGCTATTTTATGAGTTTTTGATTCTGTAACAAAAGTATAAACTACTGAAGATCTCATTTCTGAAATGCAAATTTCATTACTATGATTTTTAAATTGTGATATGGTTCTGTAAACTTGGCATGACTAAAGTCTAACAAAGTACTATAAATATGACATGCAGAATAAATCTAGACTCAGGGATCAGATAATTTTACTGAACACATTGTTTCAAAAGATCATTTTCACTATGGTAACAAAAGCAAAGAAAGTTAAAAATAAGTTTACAATTTTTAAATTAAAAACATGAGAAATACAATACTGTACATATGGAAACAAAATCCATTACATGCATACACATATTATATAGTAGCAACATTACTGTAAGCAGCAGTTACTGTTTTTCCCTGTATTTTGGTTGTAACACTATAGTAGTGATTATTGGTTCCTTTCCAGGAACTACTTAAATTGACTCATGTAGCCTATGATTGTGTACACTATGAAATTATGATTACAGAGCTGAAAAACAGACTCAACAAGAGCCTTGAAGAGCACATCCATTTTAAAATAGATCATTTATGCCAGTGCTTGCTGAGTCTATAACTTCATAAGCCCAACATATATGTTTACAGGCATGTATGTAAGTATATACATGCCTATACATATGTATTCTACTTTCACAGATAAAAATCACACATGTGACATTTTAAATGAGCCTGATATTTTGAAAATACCCAGTAGTTCAGGCAACTAGGATTTCCACAGGTGAAAAAAATAGCTTGACATAAATTCACATTTTGAAAATCAAAGTAATGAAATCTATCTACCAGGCAATTTCTCTATCAGGGTACCAGCCCTATAGCACTACTATAGAAGCAGATTTAAACCTAATTTCTCTATTTTTAAATAGCCTCTTTAAAATGTCCTGAAGATCCATAGTACATGTCATTTCATCTACGAATTCTGCTCTCCAGTATAAACGGCAGCATCTATTGATGATGTATATATATAAGAAATAAAGTACTTCCATAACCAAGTACTTTATTAGCAATACATACACTAGCTTCACAAAACAACTAAATTTTACACATATGCAAAATTGTGAATGAAATTTCTGGTTAAGAAGAAAATAAAATACAAGAAGTGGTTTTCCTCTCCATATTTAACTGCAAGTTCCCTCTTGCCCTTTATTTGACCTCCTCATTCATGCATATCACTGAACCCTCAAGGCATTCACCCCACTTTGTCTATGGTATGTCTATTCAGTGCCTTGCCGAAACCCTGGTAACCAAGCGAGTGCGCCCTCCTCCTAGGAGGTCGGAAGATGCTTCCGAAGGACTTCTTTGGATGCTGAAGACAGGGTGTCGGGAAAGTTCACCTCGAACTCTATGAGCAGGTCGCCCCGCTGGTCAGGATTTTTCGGAAAGGGCAGTCCATAGCCTATGATTCTTCTCCTCATTCCAGGCTTCACAACTTCATTTATTGACATCGGGATGGTTCTTCCTTCGATTGTGGGGACATTGATGGAGCAGCCACACAAGGCCTAGAAGATCAACAACAAAGTAAACTTGCCAGGAAGTGGAACTTGTCGCATTATCTTTTAAAAGCTTAACGCAAAAAAAGAAAAAACCAGGATGCAAAAAGATGACATCAATTATAACTAAGGCAAATCTTATAACCACAACCGTCAGAGACCATCCAACTTTTTATCCCAAATTCCCATTGAGGACAGGGGCCAATGCACTGTTCATCAGCCTATCCTTACACTTAGTAGCATGCTTTGCCTGCTGTCAGTGCTGAATACAATTTTGTTCAACTGAGGTCCATCTACAAAAAAGAGGATAGTGGGGGAGTCTTGCCTCCATGTTGCCCTGGGATCAGGGGGACAAGCTACTCAAGAAGTGGGAAAGCAGAGACCTGCGGGATTGGTCAGGAAGGTCACACGGATCCATCCCATGCACCTCCTCTCCTTTTTAGCATTCCAGTTGGCAGTCTAGGAAATGATGCCTTAGAAAGAAGGACATGCCTATTACAAGTTACTTATTTCCATTTCTACTGCATTCACATAATGTTTCAGTTCAAAACGAACATTTTAGGATCAGTCTAGAAGCTTGAATTGGATACTGTTTTTTCCATTTTTTTAATCTAGACTGCAGAGATCAAATGCACAGTCTTAGCGGCAGAATGTCACCCATACCCTCTGACAAGACCCTGACTCACAGGATGGATCCAGCCAATGAATGCATGACTATGGGCATCGTCCTTAAGTGTGGCAGGGGAACTGCTTAGGTGGCTGACACTGGGTAAACGATGGCCCGCTAGGCGACGCTGCCCAAAGGGTGAAGAAAGACGCACAGGGACAGAAGCGCATCAGAGCACATCATCAGCTTGCACATGTAACAGACACTTTCTAGATATTCATGACCAGAAAAGGAGGTGTGTCAGGCGTGTGACGAAAAGGAGAACGCACAAACTGAACCCAATGGAGATGGGCACCTCCCTCCGTCACCCGGTGGGTGGCCAAGAACCAAGATTCCTGTTAAAATCCAGCACCTTCTCCACCACGCACCTCTCAGGATCTCTCTGGGAATACTCAACAAGCCTTTGGCAGCTGAATGAGGGGGCTCGGTGGAAGGCACAAGCACACCAAGGAAACCACGGATTTGTGGAAGGACTGTTGTTAGGGTTTCATACAGTTTTAATTTACAAAACAGATAAAAGTTATTCCTTCGAACAGTAGGTTGTAAACCATCACTTACATATACTACAATGAACAAGTGGCACTGGAAGCTTCCATTATCAAGACAACCAGCCCTCACATTTGTACAGGGACTAAAAGCCCCGTACGCTCCAAGGCACCAGAGGCGAGCCCACTCACAAGCAGCCGAGCTACACTGATGGGCACTGCCGTGCCCCCACACTCACTTCTGTGGCAATCCCAACAGCACAGTGGAGCGCTCGGAGCTCCTTTGGGTCAGGAGGCATTTTTCACACCCATTTCCTAGATGCTCACAGCACACACTGGGCCGGATCCTGTTTATCACTTACCTCCCGCAAACTGATTCGGACAGGATATAGAATATTTGATCCATCCCTCTTAAATTGTGTATGCTCTTTATCTTTAATGACAAAAACAATATCTGCTGGAATACTATTGGGCATTTCATCTCCTTCCCTTGGAAAAGTGATCTTTGTTCCTTCTTTCCATCCTTTTTTTATCTCAATGGTGAGAATTTTATCTTCCGTTCGAACACTTCTCCCATCAGGGTTCAGCCTTTTTCGGGAAATCTTCATCCGTTTGGTACAACCACTGTAGATTTCTTCAAGGGATACTTTAAGTTCGTGGATAACTGGGGGGTCTTGCCTGGGTCGGGACGAACCCACTGAGTTCCTCTCCCTGGGATACCCATTCATGCTGAAACCAAAGGCACTGAAAGGATCTCCATCTACTTCCATTTCTTCAGCATCTCTATTATTACCCATTCTTCTACCAAAGAAGACTTCAAAAGGACTGGAACCACCGAAAAATGCCGCAAACGTGGCATGAGGATCACCATGAAAGGTGTACCGGAAGGTACCTCCTTGTCCATCAGTCCCACCAGCTCCTCCTTTCAAACCTAGATGAGATGAGCAACATGTTAGAAAGACCCTTGTGACGTAAAATACAGATGCCTACTTTACAACCCTATGCCTGACAACACAGATGTGTTTCTTCTCAGCCCACTTGAGCTGGAAACTACTCAAAACACATAAGGAATGTGTTTACTTGGGGGAGGAGGAAGGGGTCCACATCTGTGATTTCTCCAGAGCAGACAGTGAAGTCTAATTCCTTGTTTTAGGGACTGATTTGCCTGGGAATACAACAGGTTAAGTGACTTGGCTGTGGTCATCCCGCTAATGTGTCTCAGGGCAGATGGCAAACCTTATGTCTTCCTGCTCCAAGGCTGGCCTTCTATCTGCCTCTCATAATGAAACATCTAAAAGGCAGTGTCACTTTTAACTGTCTTCTAGGGTAGAATGTCTAGGGTTGCAGTTCCTGGGCAATGTTTTACTGTCCTAAAGAGCAGAGTAACATAGTGAAAGAGAAGGAAAACAACAAATGGCGCGACAAACTTCTCACTGCATTGATGTTTCATCCCACAGAGATGACTTCTGACTTGGTACTTTTAAAGAATGAAGTTAACAGTCTTTCTATAAGCAAATTAGTATTCAGAAACCAGGTCTTTACTTGAGCCAAGAATTTCAAGCCGACAGGCATTTGTACACATTAGACTCTAAGTTCCTCGAGGGCAGGGGTTGTCTTTTGCCTCTTTTGTATCCCTAGCACTTAGCATAGTGTCTGGCACACAGTAGGTACTTAATAAATGCCTGCTGACTGGCAGTAACACTAAAACAGAAAATTTTCACCAGAGGCTGTTAAAAAATACACCTTAAAATCTCACTTTACTAGTAAAGAATAAAAAAAGAGAAGACTTTTCAGGTATGGAAAGGGCAGAAATCTGATCATGACGACCATCAACAGAAAATACCCTTTTTCTAAATATCGGAATTTAATCTAAGCCTGCCACTTCAATCAAATGGAGCCCTATTGAAAGAGAGATGTCCAAGAGTGCCCGGACACGCATGGATGTTGGGTCAGCTGTGGCTGCCACTCCCTGACTCCTCAGGGCACTGTCACTGTCACCATGTCCACTAAGTGGCCATGATTAGAGACGGAACATACACAAGGCTGAAAAGCTAGATAGTCACAGGATCTTTGACTTGGTTAAACTTCTGGAGGGCCTCAAATATTCCCCATCAAAAAAATAATACAGAATCAAATGTAAAAGACTAAAAAAAAACTGAGGAAATTTTAACAGACTATGTTAAGGATGGGGCTGAAAGCTCCAACGGGCTAAATATCCTACTAAATCCCACCTAAAAAATGGAAGTCTTTGCTTCAGATTATAGAAGAAATCACAACAAAAGATGCAGAATCACTCCAATGAGTATTTCACTGGGAAAACTCAGCTCTCTCCTCCAAGAGGCGCCCCTCCCTCCCCATGCTTCCTCCTCCATCCCAGTGTCCTCTCCCCACCATCTGAGGCTTGGCCACCCCCTCTACATGAGAGCGGGCACCTTCTCCAGCTACTTCTTTCACTTGCAGAGGCAAAGTCATGCCAACGAGTTCATCAATCAAAGGATAGAGTCTAATGAGAAAATGTTCATTTGGATAACTTCCCAATAGCCAAGAGCCAGAGGCCTCTCACTACCAAAGCCAACACCATCTCACTGAAACCCAGAAACCCACATACCCATCTAGCCCAAGGATTCTGAACCTGGGCTCCATCAACCTTTAAAAAATTTTGTGAACTGTATTTTCATATAATTGGTCTTCTTTGTAATCCTCTGTATTTTATTTGATGTCTTTAAAAACATGATTTCAAGAAGGGCTCCAATGTCTTCTCCAGACTGCCACCAAATGGGTAAAGAGTTTCTGATCTAGTCCAATACTTTACTAAGGAATGAGCTTCCCGCCATGGTATGCCCGAAAAATGGTCATCCCCTCCCTCCACCTCTCAACCCACCCCAAAGACACAGACAGACACACACGTACATATACATGCATACATATGCACACATGTGCGCACACACAAACACACACTTGAAAACATCCAGTGACAAGGACTTCCCTAGCTCTTGGGACAACTCTGAATGTGAAGGAAGTTTTCTTTTATTCTGAGTTGAAATCTCTTTCCCTCTAATTCCTGTTCATTGGTTCTATTTTTAATTGGAGTCCGATCTTGAATCATCTCCCTAGCTCTGCTATGCAGAAATACTGTGAAGGACCCATGTATCACAGCTCATTTCCTCTCACTGAGGTGGCCGTTCGTGCTGAAAACAAAGGCACTGGGAGAATCTCCATCTACTTCCATTTCTCTAGCATCTCTATTAAAAAAGCAACACCAAGAAGACCTGGACATTGTGGCCTTGTTCTTCATGCCAGCTCTTCCTGATATAGATGAAACCCTAAACACTGGTATGAGCAGTGCAAAGAAAGATCCCCTGCGGTCCTTTGAGCCCTCTGACCCTGGAATTAGCACCTGCTCCATGCTGGCAATAGTGATTTTCTTAAAGAAAGAAGAACGTCATCTGTCTCCTTGCAGACAGGCAGACAGAGGATCCGAGTCTGAATCCCACCTCTGCCATCTGCTACCTGGGATACCTCAGGGAAATCCCTGAGGCTCTTTGGATTCTCCCTTTCCTCATTCATAAAATGTTGGGGTTTTCTTCAGGCCTTAAATGTATGCTCCCAGGAGAGGGGCAAAGGAGGTAAAGTGCTCCAAGACGTTTTGAGGAGGGAGATGTGACTCTCAAGCACAGGAGCATCAGAGAAGCTGCTATTGAAAAGGGAAGGAGCAGGAGAGAACACAACTCAGTGTGGCCTGCACAGCTAAGAGCCAGCATGAGTGGATGGAAGAGAATGAGGTAAAAGGCTAGAGGCCAGACTTGGGAATTTGTATTGAGGCCTTGAGACAATCAAGCTCTGAGGAAGGCTCTAAATCAGCAAAGGAACTGTGGCAACTCTATGAAGGAGGAATGGGCAAAATCCGAGAGATAGGAAGGCTTACAGGCCCATGAGAGCTGGCTGGCCTGTGTCCAGGGGTAGAGAGGAACAGATGAAGAGGAGAGCTAGAAATGGAAGGGGAATTCAAAGGCCTGGAGGTCAGATATGGCATGTTGTGTACTAGGCAGGAAATTAGAAAGTAGGGATTAGAATAAAGGAAAAAACAATCAAAATAGATCATGACAGGCTTTTTACATGACCCCAATCAGGAGTTTGTATCTTCCTTAAGAGTCAGCCAGAAGTTAGAGGGTGGTGGCCATTTGGGAAGCTGTGTGGAGGATGCGCTTGAAGGGAAATGTCCAAGTGAGAGGTGCTGAGGAGATGGAGGAGAGGGGAGTCAGGGCTGAGGGATAGTGAGGGACAAGTTCAAGACGAGGCCAAGGCTACAAACCTGGGCTCCTGAAAAGAGTCTGGTGCCCTCCACAGGAAGAGGGAACTAGGGTGAGTCCTGCTAGAGACATGTTGTGTTTGACATACCTAGGGCTGAGGGGAGACAGGTAAGCAGGTAAGAATGTGAAAGTAGGGAACCTAATACTGATTTCCTGGATTCGTTTTGAAGGAAAGAGCTAGGATAGCCTGAGGGAATAAAAGGGTCAGGCCAAGATTTGGGGGGGATTTTTGATGGAGGAGGGAGGAAGATAGTGAAGACTTGGGTAAGACTATAGGCAATGGAAAAGAATCAGAAGATGAAGGATGGAGTAAAGTCCCAGAGGAAATGGAAGCAAACCTGATAGAGAAAAATCTCAACTTACCAAAAGGATAAATTGAGGAAGGGGATGATTAGTTTCTTTTAAATAGCAAGCTCTCTTTGGGAATTTAAAATTTTTTGATTTGCATACAACTTTACTGCAACAGATTCATTTGGCAAAATAAGGTAAAGATACATTAATATGCAGAAAAGGAAGTAGAAAAGATTAGCATACCTGAGCAAAAGGCAGATAATGCCAATTCTACTATTTAGTAGAATCTATATAGAATTCAGCAAACCATAAAAAGATTTTATTTTACAAATAAAACTGTTTTATATAACATATGAATAAAGAAAATACAAAAGACATTAAAATCCTTCTGTGAAGTTTTCTATAGATGATTTCTGATCATTTGTCTATCTTCAGAACTATGTGGAAGAAGTCTATGTTTCCTTCTCAGGATATAGCATTCTTTTTCAAAGGTCTCATTTTAAAGTTGAATGATTCTATGATCCTTTTTTATTGTACACAATTTTAATTGCTGTTAAATCCTCTATTTTTCTCTAAGGATCAGAATTCTTAACACATCCTAGATTTTCAAAAAGTTCTTTTTGGAACATGCATCTATTACATGTAGTAAGACATACATGCAAAACCGACACAGTGATCGGCATTTCACCACAAGTTGCAGCTGGGTATTTTTTTTTTAAGTCTCTTCCTGCAGCTCCATGCATCCATCTTATGGACTCCTTTTTTAACACAATGTTTGTCCTCCTTAATCCTAGCATCTTAAGTACAGGCTCCAAACCTGAAGCTCTTGGTAAGGGTTCTCATCCCAAATCGAGCTCAGGCACACCACACTGCAGGTCTCTGGAAAGCTACGATTATGGGAATAGGTATTCGGATGATGGGTAGACACAGAGACAGAACAATGAGGTCTTTAACGGTAGGCATAGGGACGAGCCTCTGATTTCATTGGTATAAGGAGTTTGCAGACGAAGAAACACCCCTTCCAATGTGGGCGGCATGTCTGTGAAAGACAGTTTTAGGGTACTGAGAGTTTAGGCAACTTGCCTAGGGTCTTGGAGGCGGTATTCAGCAGAAGACTTGACCTAGGTCTTCTGCCCACCATCCCTTGAACTGTTAAGCCAAAACAAAGGTACAATTTGTTTACATAAGGTTTATGATAAGGTTAAATGTTTTCTTCAGTAAATACTGGAGGCCTTTCTTTGTATCTTCAGTGTTTAAGACACAGTGCCTAGTACATAGTAGGCACTTAATAAAAGCATGTTGACTGACTATGGCTTATTTATTGTGGCAAAACTTGGGCAATCAGTGCAATTCAGGCAAATTTATTAGACACCCCCCCCCAAAAAAAACAACTTTTTATTTGCCATAAGGATATATTCTATCATTCCAGTCATCTTGATGAATATCTGGCCGCTGGGCCCAGATGGCTCTAGAGGAGAAAGGGAGGCTGGTGACCTTGCCCAGCCCTCCCTCACTCAAATCAAAGTCAATTACAAGTCATGTCATCACCGCCCTGATGTCATGGTCCTATTCAAGAACGAAGGACAAACACAACAACAACAATTTTATCATTAGATTGGTCAAACTCTCTTGTGTGACAAGACTTTTTTTTAAAAAGTACTATCTTTTGGTAGTATTGAACTGCCTAATAATTGTGCCTTTTCCAATATTTTCTTTGCAAGAATCTGACGAGCTATCCATGCAAAAAAATAACCAGTTGCAAAGTATAACACTCCATCAAGTTGGTTATTTGCATTTTAGAGATTAGAAGAAACTGCAGTTACTTGGCAAAATTCAACTGAGATAACTTCTATCAGAGCATAGCGTGAGTACTATCTACAAGGACAAGCCCAGTAAGCGATGCTCCTGTGGCCAGGGGAAACCCCACAGCTCCCTTAGGGCTGCCATGATGAAAACAAAGGTGACCCCAAACAATGATTTAATACTGACCCACAGACAGTATGAAAATCTATTAATAACAGGCCCCTGACCTCTTTACCTTCACAGTTCACAAGAGAGCCTTCTCAAAGCTTCCTCTTCAAAATCAGGAGGAGATGAAGAGTAACTTTGAAAACAAATTCTAAATTGACAAAATGATGAGATGAATTCTGCCCCTTTATTGTCTCTGGCCAGTATTTAATCTCTTAATAGACGCAAAAACATGGAGGTGGGGGAGGGGAAGAAAAGCATGCTTTTGGCTCAGTATTAAAATTTTGAACAATTTCGTTTGAAATGTTCAGGTCTCTTCCAGCTCTGAGATTCCATGACTAAGTTGAACAGGACTCTAACCTGGTAGCCATTTTAGGGTAAAAAATTACATTTCAGGGGCCTCCTTTTCTTGGCACATGCTTACTGTTTACAATTAAGTTAAAAACTTGTTCTGGTATTTTATGACATCAGGCAAATTCTTTCCTTTCCAGGCACAAAGCCAAAAACAAGCTAGAAACTAGATGCCTGGGCTCTTGCTTCTGGGGGCTGTCCTGTCTTGTTCAGTCTCTGCTAGGGTTCTTGTATCTATGGGGATGAATCTTTTGTTTTTAAAATCAAAAATAAAATACATACAAATCCCTCTAATTCTAATTATCAAACAAGACCCAAAATAACAAAAGGCTATTTATTCATATCTCAAATAAATAAAATAAATTCCAAAAGAGGTTGGGCATAACTTCTGAAACTTGGTGCCCTGAACGGTTTTAAGCTTCTTTTCAAAAATCAAGCCTAAGCCAAATTCATGGAAAGTGTGCAGTGTGAAAACGTGTTCAAATACCAAATGAAGCAAATACATTCGAATCACTGCTATTCTCATTCTCACCATATACAGTTCAAACAAACAATAAACCAGGACAAAATCCGGTTATTTTCTCCCCTATGTATACATCTGAGAGCCCTAGTGAATATGAGACAGAGAGTGGGAAGGAGATAGACAGAGAGGCACAGACACACACACACACACACACACACACACACACACACACACACACACACACACACATAACACTTACCCTCCTCCCCAAACTGATCATAGATTTCTTTCTTTTTAGGATCACTCAGAACTTCATAGGCTTCGGCCACCTCTTTAAATTTTTCCTCTGCCTGAGGAGATTTGTTCTTGTCCGGATGAAATCTGAGGGCTTGTTTTCGGTAAGCTTTCTTAACTTCTTCATCAGAAGCTCCTTTTTCAATCCCCAAAATGGAATAATATCTTTCCCCATTCCGAATGTCTTGAAATGAACTTAGATTTCCCTTTATGTAAGAAAAAATATACAGATGTATCTCTGGTCTCAGCAAGAGACGGATCCTAAGAAAAACAAACCTCTTTGGGCATTGAAAAGCTAAGGTGGGGAGCCTTAAGCGAGCTCCCCTTCAGTAGCACAAGAAGGGAGCTGCCTCCTCCCTGCTTCCCTCCCTCCCTCTGCTCATTTACAGACAAACAGAGACAGCCTCTCTCCTGGTCGTCCCGTTTTATACTACGCCTCTCTGCACCTTCTAGAATAGCAAACGCTACAGCACGTCACTTCCCAGGCTGCCTCTGGCCAAAGTACGAAGCTGCTTTCCTCTCTTTCATAATTAACTATTCACCTTCCTTCTAGCTTTACTACGGGTTTCTTTCTCAAAGGCCCAAATGTTTGGGGAAATAATATACTAACAATAGATTATTCTATGTCTATTCCAGACCAGAAAAGAATATACATTGTATCATAAGACAGTCATTAAGTATCCTACAGAAAACAAGATCAAAGAGCTGTCTGATTGTGCAGCCTCCTAACACTTCAGAAAAGCGCCTAAATTTCAAGTTCGTTTTTAAAGAATTTAATCTTTCACCTGAGTTTATTTGGTTTACACTTTCTCCTATTTTTATTTTAAGATAGCACTAGGTTCTACAAACCTAACGAATTCTTTCCTTCTTTGCTTTTTAAAAATGGCAAGCTAACAAAGGATAAGGAAAATAACCTGGGATAAATGCCAAAAGCCATCATTAGTGCCTGCAAATTCAGAAGACACTTCAACACTAATACCAGGTTAGCTCTTCTGCTTCATAACAGGTGAAGTCACATAAGAGGATCCATCTACCTAATCAAATAAATGTTTGGTTCTTAAAGTGAAATACTTGAATTCAGTCACTTCAAATAAGGCAATCCCAAGTCATAAGATGACTATACGGTTTTCAGCTGAAAACCTCTTACTCCATTGAAATGCTGGCAGAAAATCGAGTATCAAGTTACTGTCCTAATGTTCGTTATAGGATCCTAGGAGCTGAGCTCTAAAGCTGGAAAGAACCTGAAAGGTCGTCTTGTTCCGCCTCCTCGTTTCACATGGACGGAAACTGAGGCCAACAGAGGGTAAGGCAGGCAGCTGCTCTTAAGTCACACCCTTTAATCTCAACCTTAGTGCCTTTGCTAATACAGACAGAACAGAGTTGGGAGAAATATCTGCAGTACATATCACACCATGTCCCGTTGTAATCTGGGGTCTTTCATTTTGAGAGTGCTTGAAGAGGGAAATACCAAAATGTCAAAGTGCATCCCACCACGTTGGGCTAGGATTCCAGAAGATCTGGGTTTGAATGCCATCTCAGACAACTGCCCCCTGTGGGAACGAAAAAGACTGCCCCTGACTACTCTGGGCCTCAATCTCCTCATCTGTGGAAATGAGGGGCTTGGACTCAATGACCTCTCTTGTCTCTTCCAGCTCTGACCCCATGGGGGGTCATGGGAGGTCATGAGGAGCCATCCCTCTGGGAGGTTCCTCCTCTCTATCTCCTTTGGCATCTGTAGCCCCTGGTTTTTCAAAATCTTCTCCCTCAGAGATTAAAAAAAAAATTCAAACATTTTAAAAACTGCCCTAAAGACCTAAATAAAAGTACTCATGGGCATTATGGGAAAAGTGGTGAACATGGAGTTTGGAGGCCTGGGTCAGCTCTCCCACCAGACCCTCCTAACACTCTATGCTGGCTGTGTGCCCATCAGCAAGTCACCACATCTCTGTAAGACGGCAGTGATAACAGCTGGGACACTTCCACCAGAACCTGTGGGTCAAGCTCATGACACACTTGAAAGCACTGTACAAAGGTGACCCCATTATTTTTAGCTGCCTTTCGATTCTCACCTCAGAGGCCAGAGGCCCACATGGGGTGGCCCCAAGGTTCAGTGTTCTTTAATCACTGACCAATGGCACTGAACCTCTGAGAGCAGCGGAAAAGCATAACCCTGTGAGGCCACCTTCTCACTTCAATCATTCTAAAATGCCCAATGCCAAGAATTCGAGGACAGGAACAAACACCTGAAGCAGCAGGTATGAATACAAGAAAATGACCCAGGAAAGAGAATTTATTTTCTAGGAAAAACACCGAGTTTCTTTAAAAATTAAAACCTGACTCCTTTGAATCTACATGAAGAGATGTTGAACATCAGAGGCCATGATAAAAAATGTCATAAGTGTTTCTGGTGGGTGGCACTGAGTGAAAATGCAGATTATCCAGACCAAATCATTTTCAAGTGGCCACAAATATTATCAGGGTCATGCTATGTTCAGTGAAGGGTTTAAGATTTGTTTTCAACACACTAATGGAAATACAACTATCCAATCAGCTGTACAAACCAAGACATACCAGTGGTCTAGACCAAGGTAGGCAGGAGAGGATGGAGAAATACAAACCATAGAAGTACTGCACCTGATCTAAGGGGATTTATGGAAATTGCCAGGAAGAAACCTGGCATATAAAGTAGTTCAACTGGAGTCAAAGCTTTAATTCATCAATTTGCCAAACTGTCCAGCTAGTAGTTGTTTTGGTTGGTTTTTCTTTAAAATTACAAAGGTAAATCTCAATTAAATTACATGTCTGGACCAATCAATTTCTCTTCTACAAAGTGCTGATTTTTGTGGTCTGATAAAACTTTATAGCACGTTTTCCATAACTCAGAGGCAGACCCAGGGCATCTTTATAGAAGTGATGTATTCTAATTTTGTAATTATGCAGAAAGTTAATGATGTGATTATTTATCAAAGCTCTATTTGCTACTGCAAAATGAGCCATCTGCAAATCATCAAATAGTCATCTTGCACCCGTGAGTTTCCTCTTTACCATTTACAATCCCCCAATTCTAGTTCAGGTGGTCTTCACTTTTTGCATGGACAATTAAAGTAGCTTCCTCATCTATTGGGAAAGTAATAGAGGCAGGTAGGGGGCGCCATCTTGCATAGAGCACCAGGCTTGCAGTCAGGAAGCTGTGAGTTCAAATGTGACCTCAGACCCTTTATAGCTGTGTGATCCTGGGCAAGCCACTTCACCTCTGTTTCCTCGACTCAAAAATGATAGAGATAATAAACAGCAACCTTCCTCCCTGGGTTATGATGATTAAGTGGGATATCTGTAAAGTGCTTAGCACGGTAAATGTGATATTAAATATTTATCATCATCATTACTCCAACCTTATAGAGGGTTGTTGTGAGGATCAAATGAGACCTGGGCACAGAATCTGGCACAGAGTAGGCACTTAATGAATGCTTTTCTCCCTTCCTAACCAGATTAATGTTCCTATTGTACACCACCTCCACTGTTTAAAAATCTTGAAGCATCCCAATGGCTGCCAAACAAAAATCCAAAATTCCTTCCCCCAGGAATCCTCAGCCCTCTTCAACTGGCCATCAACGCCCTTTCTAGTGTTCTTTCCTGCTGCACTTCACCAGCCTCCCAAATACTTCTTCTCATAGTTTCCCACCTCTGGGCCTTTGCTCACATCATTGCCTATCCCTTGAACTGTTCTTCATCTCAATATCTACCACCACAACTCCTTTCTTGCTTCAAGGCCCAGCTCAGATGACACCTTTCCCTGGCCTTCTGAAGCACAAGTTATTTCACACCTCTCACTGATGCATATTTTGTTAACAGTTATGGGTCTTATTTCCCCCACTAGAGTTGAAACTCCTTTAGGGTTGGAGTCAGATCTGATTTATCTTTGCATCTATCTCAAAGTGCTTTGCACACAGCAGGTGACAAACCTAAAACAGATGAATATTTAACATCTGTATTAGGAAGCTAGCCCTCAAAACAAAAGATATTTAAATTACACCATTGATTTATCCTGGAAATTTCCTTCAATAATAAACATTGAGAAACTAACAACATATGTCTACATATTTTAAAATCTAAACTATTGTTTGCTTCTTCCCTTCACATTGTTTCAATCCGTGTGTGTGTGTGTGTGTGTGTGTGTGTGTGTGTGTTTCTTCTGCTCCTGCTCACTTAATTCTGCTTTGGTTTGTTTTCTCACAGTTCTCTAAATTCTGCACAGTCACTGTTTCTCGTGGCATATTAATATTCACATCATACAATTTGTGTGGCCGCTAGGCAATGGCTCATTTGGTGGACATGGGACCTTTCTGTCTTTGACCTCCTTGGGCCACACACCCAATAATCAGATCTCTGGATCAAAACACATGCAGTGCTTCACAAACATCAAAGCACTATACAAACACTAGTTGTTATGTTGTGGAATAATTTCAGCTTTCATTTTAAAAGAAGGAAACATCTTACAGGTAGCTATTGTTATTACCTCTTAAAAGATTTTGAAAATAATACCCTAGGAACAAAAACTACTAAATGCCAATCCAATTTCTGGGGGGTTCTTTGGGCTGAATCGAACAATTCAACAGGAATACTATTAGAATAATATTAGGAATTAGGAATAGAAATCCAATAGGAATAAAAGTAATGTCTCACTCTAGGGTTTCAAAAATCCAATTAGCAAGTACAGGTTGGTGGAAGCATGGATGGACAGCAGTTTTGTCCAAAGAAGATCTGAGGCTCTTAGTGATCTGAAACCTCCCTGTAGGTCATCAGTGGTGAGTTGGCCAAAGAAGCTGACGTCTTAGGCTTCACTGACAGAGGCACAAGGAGGGGATCTCATTATGTTCAGTTCTGGGCACTGCCTGCAGTTTAGGGAGGCCTCTGATAAACTGGAGCTCACCCCGAATCAGGTGTGCAGCTGGTGAAGGGGCTTGACTCCAGGTCATGTGAGAATTTAAGGAAGAAGCAGGAACCCTGGGCTGGGAGTAGGAGAGAAGCTCCAGGAAGAACAAGGGTGGAAGGTGCCTCTTAACAGGCCTGTCCAAAACCAGAAATGGGCTGCCCGGGGAAGGCCCAGAGGCTGAAGGCCCCCTTGCATGTCAGGGATGTTATGGTGGCGCGAGGCATGTTCCAAGTCTTAAATTGGCTGCTTCTGTGCCATCTGGTCATTGTGGAT